GCGGACTCTCTGATCTGCTGTCCGCTGAGTTTTCTCCGTTTGTGCGTTTGTGTGTGCATGTGTGTATGTGGAGGAGGTCAGCCCTGACAGAGAGCAGACAGAGAGGCTGCAGCGTGGTAATAAACACTACAGAGCCCATTTAATACCACGTTTCAGTACCCATCCCTAACTAAAATTATTTTTTATTTTCAAGTTTCAAGCTGTCTTTTTGCGACATGTTTATTGAACGTGTTCATATCGTGATGACGATGAAAATACCATTTATTGGTCAGCTCTAACCAGAACATGCAAATTCAGAGCCCTGACCCACCAGAGTAAATGGACAAGCATATATATCCTGGTAAAGGTATGAATCCTGTCTAAAACATTCAAAACTACTGTTCTTCAAACCACCATGAACACTTTTTTTATTGAACAGGCATTAAAATCTATAGAGAAACACTATATGGTACCATTCAAAAGTACTTTGGTGTACTGTCAAAGAAGTATGAAGAAGAAAATGTCTGGAATGAAGTGTGAAGTTTACTTTGTCCTTTCTTTGGACAGTACATAAACAGGTTTTGAATTAGAGAAATCTAGAATGAGAACTTGAGGAATCATTTCAAAGGCTATTAAGGTAAAAATAACATTGTCAGGCACAGTTACTAGCAAAGAACTAAACAGTCAGGGCAATAATTTCAAAGTCAACGTGCTACGTCTCAGTCCTCAGGAATTTTTCATGAGCCACCACTTATCTTGTCATATCAGATTTCTTCCACCAGCTTTTTTGGAGGGAAGAGAAAAGAGACCTTTAGGGCAAATTATTCTCTTTTAATCAAATCACTCTGTATGGCCTGAGGAGCTCTTTCCATGCCGTTTGAGTCACTGGGGCATGGGCCACTAATGCACACACCCACAAAAAAAAAAAAAACATATGCACACAGTCATACAAACAAACATCCACATATACACTATGTATTGAAACAGCAGCGGTTTTTATCTGAAAGCAAGAAATGAGACTCAACAGGAAAATAAAAAATACAAGAAGAAAGCAAGGAACAAAGTGGTGTCTGGAGTTTCCATCACAAGTGAAATCCCAGATTTTCTCACTCACTGTTCATGGAACAAAATCGAACAACTTTATTCTGGAGTGCAGTCAGTGCAGGAGGGAGCTATAAAATATAAATTATACCACATAACCCTATACCTCCCAACTGAGCCATTTGGTTACAACTATACTCCTGTTCGTTACGCAGGTCCGGCGTCTCTGGTATTTCTATAGCGTCGACATGAATTATATTCTAGCCCTGCTGAAGAACGTATGGATTACAAGTGAAATGTAATTTCCCTACCGATCGGACAGTTGCCACCCAGTGACACTGAAGTGTTTATTTTACGCAGTTGCCGGTAATTAGTTCTGGACAGAATTAATTAAGGCCACCCCAAATAACAGCTGAAAATGTAAGAATCATGACTGTGTCTAGGCAGACAGAAATATGCAGCAGGGGTGTATTATACTAAAGGCTGAGTTGTGCAAAATGTGTTCTATCATTTTTCACTTTAAACAAATAAAGACTGAGGGAGTGTGCGGCTTCTGCACACACTGGGTGTGTTCATGTACTAAGACCAAAGTTTTCCTGATTCCTTCCTTAAAGAATACGATAGTGTTTGGATTAGCATGTGAAATGAAGCCTGTAGAAAAAAAATGGCACAAAAAAATTGAACACATGTAAGTACAAGTATCAGCTTACAGTTTAAACACAGCTTGTAGCAGTGAGTCTGATTTTCATCTGATTAACTTCCCATTTCCAAGTGTGATCTACCTTCTCAACAGCAAGACAATACTATGATTTAGCAGATTAAAAACTCTTAGAGCTTATCAGTCTGTGTGATAGTACAAGACTAAACACATCTTAAATGCTCATGTCATAACAGCTGTTAACCCTATTCATTACCGTCTGCTATTTATTTCTATTTTTTTTTAACTTAAGAATCACAGGAACACAGACCAAATTTCATAATGTATTCGGAGGAAATTTGAGAGTTTTCATGACTGTAAGTGTGTGAAGATTTTGTTTCTTATACTTTACGTGCTGAGGTACAAAAATGTAATTATGTCTACTATATGTATATTGTTTTAAATCAAGTATGTCTCACGCTGTGCTCTTTATTAAATTAGGAGTCCTGCGATCCAATTTGTTTTAACATTTCACAGTGTCTCTGTTTAGTCGCTAAAGCCTGCAGCTTAGGTTACAGTGTCTTTTTCAAAGATTTTCATCTCAAGCCACCACTAGGTATATGACCCCACTCCCCCTTTCAAAATATTACCTTTTCTGTCACTGCCAAGACACACTATCAGTCACTCAAGAGATTATTGGGTCTGAGGACAGATGGACAGGAGCAGAGCCGGGTCGGTACGGCAATGACCCACTCCTGGATAAATAAAAACACTGCAAGAATGTGGCTTTGATGTTGTTCAGGCATCACAGAAACATTTATGTGTATCATTTGCAGAGAGGAAGAGGGAAAACTGTTCTCTCTGCTATGCTGAATACCTATACCTGTGAGCACGTTTGAAAGTACACATCTTAACTTTGCAGCTTCGTCACAACTACAATTTAACAGAAAATTGTTACATGAAGGTCAAATAGTTATTATCTCCCTAAATTAATCACGTAAAATATGAAAATAATTAAGTGCCTTAAAAAAAAAGAACTAAAAACACTGAGCATAAAATTTGCAAATGTACATGGGATATTAAAAGATCTTTTACACACTTAACACCCATTCTTTAAGAGTCAGGGAGTGAGAAAGTAAGAAAACCAGGGCAAATAGAGAGGATGGAGTAGAGGGAGAAGAGGAGGAAAGAGTTCTCGATGTGAGCAGTAATCAGAGGAAGCCAGCAGGGGGGACAGGGAGGGTTGGTGGGGTCAGAGCAGAGCACCACTAAGCAGCCTTTCTCTTCATTAGCAGCCTCTCTAAGGGGGGCGTCACAGGCCTACCTGTCCAGAAGATTATTGAACCGACTAACCAGTGGCTCCCACCCCACACACACACACACTCTCACACACTCTCCCCTCTCTGATTCCCACAGACCCAGAGGAATCACGACCTAGCTGCAGCCTCGCTGACAACTTTAACTTTTTCTTTAACCTCACGTAGCAGCTCTATAGGATGATCCGGGGCATCTACTCAGTGCCTAACGAGGACATTTACCTCAACATTTTCTCCATTATTTTATGTGGAGTTTTGTTGTCTAACCTTTTTTGTTGTTTTTCTCAAAGTACATATATATATACATATATATATATAGTTGGTTTATGTATTTTTCTGCAGCAACACGCCAGCATTTATTATCTGCTATTAAACAATGTAATAAGTGTATAATTATCTAACACGTGCAAGGAAGACATACACATAAAAAACGATGCAGCACTTTAACTTGTGTGACTTGTGTGGTAAAGGACATTTGAATTGCACAGATCCCTGACTGGTCTGGCAAAGATAAAGCAACATGGAGATAAAAGTAATGAAATGACACTCCAGGAATGTAAATTGGCATTCTTCACTGTAGTTGCAGCACCAGCTCAGGCTCATGAAACATCCCTGACACACACTCAGACCAGGCCAAAATACTGTGCTAGACATTAATCTCACACACACCTCACTGATGAAAGTGTGAAGCTACTTTTGTGGTGCTTTAAAGTGAGGCCATTCATCTCAATCTCTCTCTCACTGTTTCTCTTTTTCTACCCCTCTCCCTCCTTCTTCCCTGTCTCCTGAAGCATTCAGATATGTCTGCGCTGAAATGTCTTACATTGACATGAAATGCCTCTGTGTACTTCTGCTTGTGTTTCAGTGTCACAGGTTGGCCATGAGTTTTTTCTTCAGAGGTACGGTAGCACAGGGACGCATCAACAGGCACTAGAGCAAGTGTATTCAGCACAAATAAAATCACTGACACTCTCAGATCAAAGTGTTTAGCTCCACTATCAAGCATGGTTTAAAGCAACAATTTAAATTACCAAAAATATTTCGTTTGCATTGACATCGAACGCAGGCAAACGTGTCTGTTCTTGTATAATACTTATTCTGATAAAGACTTCCACAAACAGACCAAAAAATCAGCTGAAACAAGACAGTGAATATTTCAAGAAATCAATAAAACGTTGCAGAAGAAATAAAATAGCATGAACTGCAAGAAGGACTTCTGCAGAAAGGTGAAGCAGGATTTTCAGCAGAGGGATTTTATGCCTGAAAAATAACTTGAGAAATGTTGCTGCCAGCTATGAAATGAAGTCTGCTCACATTTATTTAAGTAAACACCCATAACACATTTTTAACAGCCCCGTTTACATGTGTTTTCTATCTGAGGATTGCACTGAATTGCACTGAATAATAGCATTAACTGGTTTGTATGGAGTTTGTGAATATGAAGGCCCCGAATCTACAGGTAGTATAAGGTGGCTTACAACATAAAAAACATGTAAACAATTAATAAAATAATTATTTGCACTGTATCTGGAATTAACGATTTGCCCATAAAGACGTCAAGTAAACGTTTTTAATGTCAGTGGGGTAATTGAGTAACGTGACTAAAACTGTAAAATTAGATAAAGTGAAGTAATATTTTGCTAACTTACTTAAGATGTCACAAGTCTAATTTCTGGTTATGGCCTTTAATAGGCTCACAAATGCTACAGAAATTACTATTGATTTTCTGGGACAAAGAGGAGAGAGGAGAGAAAGAAAAAGTTCAAAACAAGCAGAAGAAGAAATTCATTTTCTTTTAAATGCAAGCATGAACAAATCTACCGGATGAGTCATATGAATCAAAAACAAGTGTGGGAAACTCAATTGAAAAATGAAGTCTTGGCTATAACTCTTTATCTGCTCTGATGAGTTCAGATGGCAAAACCGGCGCAGAAGTTGTAAAGAAAAGTTACCAATTACATAATGTCTAGTGCTGGTGTGTTTTATCTGAATAACTTAAGTAAGCACAAGCAGAAAATCATATTTACCATTGCTGCATGTTGTATCTGACAGACCCCGGGGCTCCTGGCACTTTTCAAACTTGGCGTCCTCAAAAAAGTCTGATTTCGCCCTCAAGTGGGGAACTTTCTCCTCTTCAATACTGCGCGCTGTCTGAGATTCGCGGTCGGTGTTCCTTTCACAAACTTATCATCGCCGTTTATGACAGTTTTAGGTACAACACGGGGGTGGGGGGGGGGACAGTCACTCTTTTTATCCCGAGAAACCTCTGTGTCCGGGCTGCCTCACTGAGAAAAAACCGCGCGTCAAGACGTTTGGAAACGCGTCGGTTTCACGGAGAGGAACGCGTGACCACGACACTCGGTCCCCTCTTCTTTTCCCAAACCGTAAACTGAAGAAGTCAAGGAGACAGTCGAGATTGCTGACAACCAGAAGCTGGGTTGTAACCGCTTGTCCTACCTTGAGAAAAAACGTTTAAAAAAAAAACGCCTTCCTACACTCCCCCGATGATTTTCTTCTGCAGAGTCAGCGCAGTGCGCCGAGGAGAGCTGCGGACGGTCCGGGCTGGAGAGAAGGTGGCTGCTGTGTTGTGTTGGGTGAATTCAGACCAGTGTTTTACACGCCGTGTGTGACTGTAACCCGAGTGACTGTGGGTCCAGAGGGTTTCTGTGCCCGATGAGTTGATTGACGATGCTGTGTCAGGAGGAAGAGTCACATCTTCGTGCGACAAAAGTGTACGGGAAAAAAAACCCCCAGCCCCCGAGATAAGAAATCCGCAAGAAGAAGCGCTAGTGATGAAAAGCAGCAATGATTCTGTGATATTTTTTCACGTGTGTATTTAGCGCGGATATATTGTGGTTAAAATAATCTGTATTTTAGTGCAGATTATAATCCATGTATTTTAAGCAATATCACCTGTATAGAAAATGAACCAAACGTTGCCAAAGAGTCAATAAATAATACAAAAATAAATACAAGTGTTTCTGGAATTGCTGGTGTCTTTTAAACACTGTATAAACTTTTGGGGGTGCTGCATTTCATTTAAGCAAACTTTCACTTTTTTCACTTTCTGTGACCTCGGTGCGAGTACGGTCCGCGCACGCCTAATGCGCGCGCGCGCACGCACACACACACGTGTTTTAAGCAGTCGGAAACAGCTTATGGTTTCTCTGTGTACTGCAGGGATGTGACACTGATTTCCTAAGTTGTGTCCCTCAGATCCCTCAGAAGTGGGCGCGCTCATTAAAGTTTCATTGTGCACTTGTTTTTATGAGGATTTGCTCAACATTTGACTGAGACATCTCAAGAGTGAAGAGTTGAAGGAGGGAGGGGTGTGTATGTGCGTGTGTGTGTGTGTGTGTGTGAGGATAGAGTGGAGCAGAATGAGAGAGACATACAGCGCTCCTCAGAGTGACTGCCTGCCTCGCCTGGCTCCTCCACTGGGGTGAGAGAGGCAACTGAATCCCAGGGCAGTCATTTCTATCAAGTCAAGCGTCTGGAAGCCCCACTTGCATGTTTGGTCAAGGGGTAAATAATAGATCAGGGATTAGGCTTGTGTAGAATTCATTCCAGGGTAACAAGCTACTGAGGTCCCAGGATATGCATATTCATTCCTTGGCCAAGGCCGTGGGAGAGCGAGGACCATATGCCTGTTTGTCAGAGGGCTTACATCGCTAATTAAATGATATATTACATACTTATGTGAGCAACAAAACAAAAAGCCTTTAAAGGATTGTCTGGGAAAAAAACATTAGGTGTTCTTTTTGTGTTGACTTCAAATGCTTTGATGCTGCTTTAATTTGACCAGGGAGGTGTTTTCTATTCAGCAGTGTTGATTATCCATACAGACACCAGGAGCTGTGGAAGATTAATGTGACATAAACTGCACATCAAAGAAAAACATGACCTTTTTACTTTGCTGTTAGTTATCAGATGAAATATCTCTGAGTAACACAAGATGTGTGATAGCAGCATATGATAGGGGATATTTCTATACTTTCAGCTTCTAGCTATCTTCTTCTTCAACAATCTGCTGCTGTATTGCTGTGTGAGCAGGGTCAATCATCCCATTTACTTATTTTTGTTGAAGCAAAACGTTAATTTCGAAATTACTGTCATGATAAATATAGATCTAAGCTCAGGTACAGGATGTTAGGAAACCCTAGCAACACACTCAATAAAATGAGGAAACCTGTTTAAGTTAAGTCACAAATTGTTAATATAAATCATATCTGCAAAATGTTTCCTGACAAAGTATTTCATTAGTTTTTCTCCTACTCCTGCAATACAACATCTGCTCATAGCAACTAAGGCATGATTTATGTTTTATATAGTTATGTTTAGGCCTTTGGTTAAGGTTAAGGAAAGATATTGGTCTTGATTGAACAAAAGTGAACACTAAACTGAAGCATGAAACACAACATGTTTATGCTGTTAACATTTACCCGAAACCACCATGATCTTTAGTCAACCTTAACCAAAATGCTTTTTTCACATTTTGATGCAAACTCCAATCTCTGATATCACAAATGCAACCCACCACAGCTACCTGCATATTAGTAGCACCACGTCCTACATTTGAAAAACATTGCCACTGAACATAATCCTGGCAGGAGTTAATTTTCCCTTAAAACATATTTGACAAAAATAATTAGTAGTATAGTTTTCATAAACCATAACATGCGGTGACCGAGTCGACTGAAACATCTGTGAAGATGTAGCATGTTGACATGCATTTTACATTTGAAATATCTGTGTATACGTCGGCTGATGAGTAACAAGAAATGACAAAAATGCCAGATATATGTTTGAGTTGATCAACATTATTACCTCAGCAGCTTTATCAATCATTCTTATACACAGTGTTTGTATAAGACAGTGAATTGTGTATCGGGCTCTGACTGCTGCCAAAACTTGGCTGACCCTACAGCATTACTGTGGCTAAATACATCCTGCGTGGACACTGATGGGGGACTGAATGTGCTCCTGCTGAAGGGCTGCTTTCACTACACAGTCTGTATAGACATGGAGTTAGAAACATTACCTCCATCACAGAATTTGTCCACCAGAGAGCACTGGCAAGTTTGTTGTAGATATATTGTGTTTCCAAGTCTTTCAAAAATGAACAAGCAAAAATGTTTGTTTATGTATGTTTATTTAAAAAAGAATCCAGTATCAGACATGTGTACTACCTTGGCATTTAAGCAGACACTGACATTAAATTACACTGTAAAAGTAACCAGCAAAGGCAGCTTGATAGGTAAGGAGAGTATATGTTTATTTGTCGCTGTGACAGGATCCCACTGTTCACTAATTATCCAGCGGGACCACTGATAATGAGCTATTGAACCTGCTACTGAAGTGGTCTACCTCCCGGGAAGGCTATCAACTGCTGCAGCGCACTGGTGGATCCATCAAATCCACAGAGGTCCTTCTGTTCATTAAGTTCCTTTCACTAAAGCATAGACAAGTCCTGAAAGGTCAGTATGACCATAACCAAGAACCCTGAGGAGTTCTAACTGGTTCATACTGTTCTCCAATCAGGAGATTGTTAATGGCTCCAATAATTATTTTTTTATTACTTTTAACTGTGATGTGACATTTCTGATGCCAGATTAATGTCTTAATATTATCCATCAAGTCATGTTTCTTTATAAGCACAAAATCACACATTTCTTTACAATCCATACAACATACAACATCCGCAATCCTTTGACACTTAAAGATAAGCAGATAACTATTGATAACTGCATCAAATGTTTGATCATAAAAGAACAAAATGATTTAATGAGCAACATTAAAGAAAAACTGTACTATGATACAGAAACAATTCTATATCTCAATGTCATAGTTTGATCTCTCCTAACTCATAGAGAGGGAAGCACAGGTGTTAGAAATAAGACAAATACTTTTCTCATCTAAAAGCTGTTTTCCAACTGGACGACATTTACTCAGGGCGATCAATGTCCCATGTCCTTGGTCTCCTCTTTCATACTCAAGGGAAATATGAACTTAAATACAACCTCACCACCTTAATTTACCCTTTCACCAAGCAAAGGACAAGCTCTCTAGCAAAGAGCCCAAGGGAAATAGCCTGACTCCTTGTTCCCAGACCTCCTGAGGGGGCTAACTGGGGTTGGGATGGCACACTAGTTGGGTGAGCCGTGAGTGAGTGTGGCCCTCATGGCACCATGGATACACACAAACACACACACGCACACACATGAGGTGGGTCTTGTCTGGATCAATTCCTCCTTTATGAAGGCTCTTGTCTGTTGAGGATAGGACCAGAAGGTCATCAGATGGGAGTCAAACAGAGGTCCACGCCATCTCATCGGGGCAGGGGGGTTAGGACATGAACAAAGGGGCATGTACACACAGCATGTGGGGAAGGAGGGGGACTTGTGGGAGGTCAGCGACGTCACATGCATACAGGAATACACACGATGGCGAAGACAGCGTGTAAGGTTTGTGATGAGGGAAGGTTTTGAGCTGGAATTATCTGATTTTAGTGCACAGATGTTGTATGTCTAAAGGCTGAAAACAGGGAAGAGAAGCAGTAATCAATGGTTTCTCTGTCCTGGGGTTTTGTAAGGCAGTCCAAGGTCTCACAGGATTCAGCATGAGGATGGCTCATGCTCGAGGTCAAGAGTGGCTGATAATTCTCCCACGGACTTCAGTGAAAGATATAATATCCCTCCTCAGGGCATCGCTTGAATAGAAATGTGTACAAACAAGCTCTTAAATGTCAGCATTTGAACACAAATTTTGTGAGCAATTTCAAAGGTTTGTGATGGGGAATTTAAATTTCAAAAGGCACCCAGTGTGATAACAGCTTATTATTATCTAATCTTATTCAACAAGAGAACATCAGACACGTAACAAATAGAGTCATCAGTCGTGCTACAAAGTGACTGTCTTCAAAGACTTAATGTAACTCTCACATGTTAGAGCCTGTCTCATTTCCATGCCGGGGGAGTGATGTTTGACTAAACACTGTGCAGGTTTGACATCCCAACTGGCATTTGTACAATCAATGTTCCTTTAAAGCTGGGGACTTGTGACTCTTTAGTACCTATTGTCATCTCCTGCAGTTCTCAGGTTCTTTCCTCCCTCAGCATCAAAGCTAGGCCACATTAATGCAGACGATATCCCCACTTACCTGAGGCGGAGACTGTGCTTTCACAATTCTCCATGGAGTGTCGTGTTGTGCCTCTCTTCCTTCCTCTGTCAGCAACAGCACACCAGGGCTTGTCATTTGGTTCTTGAATTTTTCATGCAGGTGAATTTGCATGATCACAATTCTATGTCACTTTCTTCCCCTGATAGATTAAATGCGGCCTAGCACTTGAACTTCCCTGAGACTCCGCTGAGGCAGAACAGAGGCGAGACAAGCATGCTTGTAAGGACTGTCAATGCAAGAGCTGTCTTGTTTCAAGGGGTGGCCCTTCACATTTTAACAGTTGGGAAATTAGACTTGCGAGACGCACAAAGACAACTTCAAACAAGGGTCAGGTTACATTTGCTAATGTATTATAATGTAG